GTTTTCTTTCTGTTCACAAATAGTTTGTGCAAAGCTTTTATCTGGCAACATAACTATTTATTAATGTTTAATTTTTATCCCTTTAGATTAACACTCAGTAGTTCTAACTCCACGCATGGGGCAGTAAGGTGGAGGTGGGTTAGTCCCCACACAGCAGCTGGGGAAAGCTCAGTCCGAATCTCATCAACCCAAAGTTTGAAGGTTTAAAACCGCTTCCCTCCACTGTCTCTTTTCCTACAACCCGCTTTGCCATCAGTCTGTCATTCTGGAAGGCAGCAGTGTTTCTTTGTGGCTCTGCAGCACAAGGCACAGTGGTGCTTCCCAACACACGGAGACCTTGAGGCACGTCCAAAATGCAACATGGAAAAATGCACTGTGCACCAGACAGGTTCGTATCCTGCCCTCCCCCTCATGCTCCCACGGTGCGTTACGCCGTGAGAAACCCCGCTGAGAACCACAGGGCTATCTGCAGAACAGGGCGCTATTCAGCACGCATGGATGTGGCAGAATCCCTCCAGTTACTTAAATTTCACGGACACCTGAGAGCCTACAAGAAACAAAGCTCTGTGACACCTACACCCCCCACGAACGCGCACAGGGAGGGCGCACACGCTCCACCCCAAAGAACCAGAGCATTTCTGCTCTCATGGTACCTATAAGGAAGCATTCATTCCCCGTTCCCCTTCTATCCCGACACAAAATGGGATGTATTGACACAACGTAAATTCTCTCCCAACCACAGAATCCCAGTGCTGTCTGCAGCAAAGCTCTCGGCTCGTATTTGCCTTTCATGCTCGATTGTACGGAGCCAGCCTACCCCCAAGGGGAGGGGGAGGTAGAGGTGAAAGCAGCAGCAATCAGAGGGATAGTTCATGACTCCCAAATACATTTTTAGCAAAGCTGACAAGGGCAACGGCTATGCCGAGCAGCTGCTGCCAGAGAAGACCATGAGTCAGGCCTAGTTTGTGACCACAGATCTAAATCAGAATTGTCCCAGGAATTAATTCTTCAATTTATCCAGAAAAATTACAGTATACAGGGTTTTCCTCGGCCATAGCTGAGAAAATACCCAAACCAAGCGACAGTCACAACACCATGGAGAAGCAGATTCCCTCACCTAAGCATTCAAAATGCTGGTGACCCTTCTCTCACGTGGAGAACAACTCTTCTGCTTAGGAGCTGTCGCCACAACCAGCAACAGTCACAATGGGTGGGAGTAAAACAACTCCTGAGTACGTTTCCAACCTGGAAACGTATTACCTGGTTATGCTCAGGAAATGAAGTCCAAACACCCCTCTTAATATTACTGGGGTCATCTCCTCTTTCAGCACAGACAAGCAAGATTAATATCCAATTCTGCAATGCTACAGGGCCCCCAGCTCAAGCCTGACACCCTCCACAGCTAACCCAAAGGAAGGTTTTGGTGAAATTGGGGTGGCACAAAGAACAACTGCAGACGTTCTTTCCCTGAACCACTTTGAGAAGTGATCCCCAACTCATTTGTGTGGCTCGGTGATGGAGATCTATGTACAATGACGGGGAATTCAGTCGCCCGCGTTTGGCCTCAAGAACCTCAAAAGGAAGGAGGATGAGGCATGACCTTCACACATAGCGTGGAACTGAAATTTCAGCTGCAAAGCAGCTAGCAAGATCCTGGCTGAAGATGAGAATTACTCCCATAAGGGCATGGACACGCTAAGATCAAGAGAACAGAAGAAGAAGTGGAGTGAGGAACTGCACTATGAAGAGTTTCACTTCACTACAGGGCTGGGAAGAACTGAAACAGCGTCCGGAGTCGTCGCCCTCACACGCGTGCACACTGCGCGTGAAGCGAGCAGGGTATACGCTGACTGCGGTGACTGAGGGCAGAGAGCTCACCTGGCACAGCGACAGCATCGTCGAGGCCTACCCTGTGGAAAACGAATGAGTAATATGATAAAGTTTAACACACTGATTGACCTCTAGTGCTAAAGATACTCCGAGTCCTTGCCTGATTTTTCTTACCCCTTTGTGATGCTCAAAAACCACCATGCAAGAAAGCATGTGACCTGGGAAAACAAAGGTAACCCAGAACTCTCCCGAGGGCCAAACCCGGCCAGAGGAAAGAGGAAGTGTCTGTCTGTGAACAGCCCCAAACCACGGTGTCTTTGCAAGTCATCCCAACCTCCCGATTGGCCTGGCTGTTCTCCATCAGCTCCTTCTTCCCTTATTTTCACTACTAGTAACTCTCTTGTATGGAAAAGCACGACATTGGCAGCCATCAAGTACACCTTTCACAGTAGTCAAACGAATCCAGCATATGTAAAAATTGCATGCCAAATGAATTTTATCCAGCACAATTCCCATGTAAGGCTGCTTACAGGCTGGGGGCTTGTGCTTGTCAAGGAAAACAAAGTGTGATTTATCCTTGTGTGACCCCAATCACAGGACCTTAAAGACCATCCAGTTCCAACCCCCCTGCCATGGGCAGGGACACCTTCCACCAGACCAGGTTGCTCCAAGCCTCATCCAGCCTGGCCTTGGACACTCCCAGGGATGGGGCATCCACAGCTTCTCTGGGCAACCTGTCCCAGTGCCTCCTCACCCTCTGCGGGAGGAATTTCTTCCTGATGTCCAATCTAAATCTCCCTGCTAGTACATCTGCTGGTGTAATTCCACTTTTATCAATAGAGCTAAATGGGCATGAAAACAGAGTAATGCAGGCTGGCATGAGACCCCACGGGTTTAAAGATCACCAGCCTCATCCCCCAAGACTATTAAATGCACACTGCCTACTGCATATCAAAGGGGTTGCCTTTGGAAACAGAAACTCTCCTCCGATATATCTGCCCGATCATTTTCTGCAGTACCCGAGTTCATCTTTCACACATTTATCCTTATGACACCTCTACATAATTTCCAGCTTCCTGGTGGGAAATTACCACAAAAAGACTAAGGCTGCTTGTCTGTTATCTACCTTATACAATTTTACAGGGATTTGGACACCTGAATTACCTAATCCACAGGATTCAAGACAAGAACGTGAGCCTCCCAATCCCTGCACGTAGCCCTAGCCCCTGAAGGGATCATCTTTTCTTGCAGCTTACAGCAACTCGGACAACTTTGCAGTGTTAGGTTAACAGCTGGACTCAATCTTCAGGGTCTTTTCCAGCCTAAACGGATCTATGAACTTGCAGCCTAACAGCTGACGACGCACCAAGCAGCAAGCACGAGAACTCCGCCAGCAAAATTTATGGAAATACTAAGTCATTTCTCAAGTCTAATCAAAAAAGGTTTTGCTGAAGCATCAGCCCTCTGTGATATTTACACAGCCACCACCTTCCCCTCCCGCAGATCCCAGCGTGACTGGTGCAGTTGTGTTTTACAGTACTAAGTGAGAAAAGCTACATACGAGAAATGCCAGAAGGCAGCAGCGGTTTCCTTTTCAATATCATTTGCTCATAAATAAGTGATCTACAGGACTTGGACAAGGATTCATAATTCATACAGTTTGTATTCAAGAACAAAACAACCATGACTGACAACAGTTTTCTGTTAAAGGTAAGAATTATCAGCAACAGCAGGTAAACACACTGACAGTTGGGGTTTTTTGTGGTTCCTATGCTGTTGTCACTCGACCAATATTAAAATAATTTTCCTGTCATTCATCCATTACTTATGAGCCACACTTACTACAAAACTGTACAAACAAACCAAAAGAACAATAGCTACTGCTCGCATTCTTTACAAGATGGCAAGTTCTCTTTTATCATACTTAGAATGTCTAATAGATATTTCAGTCACCTTATACATCTATCTAATTGAAAAATGAGGTAAAAAGGATAGAAGTGACAGAAGAATGCCATACCAGAATGCTTTGTTTGTTTTGCTTATCGTACAGAGTCCATGCTGGATAAAAAGTCATAGGAGGGGCTGAGGAAGCATTCTCATTACAGCTATATGTAAAACATCCTTCCACGCTGCTGCCAAAGCATTATGGCCCTGAAAGATTACACCCCATTCTGCACATTAAAGGTATGCCTGTCGCCAGACTTCCATCTTAACACTGGAATTCGGAAAAGAAAGTAATTTTCAAGACGCTCATCCCGTACAGCTCTTCAACACATACTTAACCTTTAGTGGGACTACTTATAAATGCTCAAAATTTATTTTGCTGGACTGAGCAAGAGTACTTTAGCAGTTTCTGTAGTGGACCAACAGTTTGGAAATGAAATTTAGGGCCCTGATGCTCCCTTGCCTTGTTGCACTTCACTTAGTCATTTTATACCTGCGTTACGAGTATTTGTAACAATAGTGATTCTAAGCATTATTTTATGCCCACTCATCCCAGGGATAGAAGGGTTCAAGGAAGGAAGAACAATCTCATCTCAACTACATGCCCTTCAGAGCTGGTGACATGCAAATTAATCATCTTTGAGCATTTACTGTAGCAAGCACATAGGTTGCTAGACTCCTGGCTAAAAGGAAGTACTGACATAAAGCTCCCAGTTCTACCAGTCTTGAAGAATAACAGGTTGGAAATCAGATTCCCCACCATCAAAAAAACAACACACACACCGTATTTCTCGTTAGAATCATTTTTTAAGAAAGGTCTGTTGACCAGATCTGGCTAAGCAGCAGGAAAATGCGAACCAAGACCCAAACAATGACTGCAATCAGCCTTGGTAATTCATCCTCTCTGTTTATTTCAGGTTTTACACAGTGCTGCTGGACTCTTCCCTAACCAGGCTTTTGGCTCACAGAGCCTTAAGCACAGATGGGTCTCTGACCTTATTTAGCAGGGATTCTCCTCAAGGCATTGCTGTCTGATTTTATAACGTTTGATTCAAACGGTTCAGTGGCTTGGCCAGGGCGCGTAACCCACTTTTTGAATGCATGGGTCATTAGCAAAGCTCATGTTTATTAACTACAAATAAGTTTGGCTTAACACTGAACAACCCTCCCACTAATTATCTGTCTTAAATAGACATAACTGTGAATCGTAAACCATGAGCAGTTACCGATTTCCTCTCTTGCTTCAGCTCCTGCACATAGCGCGTTAACTCTCCGGTGATAAGAGAGGTCATGTTCTCCGAAATGACCTCATGCTGTCCGGCGTAGTCATTCATTTCGTTTAAAGTGGCTAGGAAGGCTCTAGTTGATGTGTACCTGCAGAGGACAAAAATGCATTCTGCTTTTAGTCCCTTTCCTTTCAGAAAGGCATGCTGCAAAGGGAGGCTGCATCCTTCTCAGGCATTTAGTGTTGCTACCTGAGACTGACCATGGATTAGCACAGATTCTCTTGAAGGAATTTCTCAAAAGGAAGCCTATCCCACACAGACAGTTCTCTGATAAATTCATCTTGATTTAGACAGTTGGCTCTTACAATATCACAGTTCTTTTTTATCAGCACAGCTCTGAGACATCACCATTCTAATCCCTACTCACCAGGTAGTGTGCTCTACCTGGCAAAATCCTGTATACGCAACCAAATTTTGGCTAGCATAGTGCAGAAAAGGAAAAAAAAACCCAAACAACTTTTCATCATGGAAACTGAATTTAAACCGGCCGGAGTTTATAAAGTTTTCCAAAAGGTAGTGAGTTTGCTAACCAGGTGTTCACAGTAACCCGTACTTCTTCACACCTTCCCATTGCAAGGTTTATTTTCTGGTATAAAATTGATCTCAAATACACCATTCCATGTATTTTTAAGAGGAAGAAGTGAACATCTGTGCGCAGAATTTCACAACAGCGGATTATGTCACTAGCGTGTTCAGCAGAGAGCCAACAGAGCTGGATTTAAACATCCCAGCCGGCTGTGCTGGTCAGCTGGAAAACAGCAGCTCTGACACTCTGCACAGCTCCACACAACTGCTCGTATTAAAAGGTAGCGGTCTGTACTGACACCAGCACCTAAAGGTGAAAAAGGTGAAAGAGTGGTACAAGTAGGGATGAAAAAGGCATCAGAGGGAAAACGGAAAAAAGGGACTAAAGAGACTGAAAATACAGTGCAATACAGGCAGCCACCTTCAGTCAAGCTGCGGTGTCCCGAGAGAAATCCCAGTTGCAAAAGACAGGGGACCAAAGTCACAGAACTCCAGACTGACAATAAGCTTGAAACCAGGCCCTTTTTAGACAGGCTGTCTGAAAGCAGTGTTCGAGGCATCCAAAGGTCGCATGACAAAACCTCAGACATTATTTAGAGACAGGAGGAAACTACACTGAGGTGAACACTATATCTAAAAGGGCAAAGGACACACCGGATCTTCTGTGCCACATCACATGAACCACTGAACTCCAGTATCCTTTTCCAGCAATGAAAGATGTGTCCAGAAAGGTTGTAGTAAACTCCAAATAGCCATTTATGGTACAGCTACCCAAAGGCAGATTTATTCCTAATCCCCGGTACAGACCAAAACAACCTATGTGCTGGTAACGTAAGATTCCTTGTGTAAATATCCCTCTCTCAGGAAACAACGGCATAAATAACTGATTCCCAAACAATGTTCACTAAAAATAAATTTAAAAGGAAATAAAATAAATTAAAAAGGAAATGAAATGGCCGTTATCTCTGTTAATATGAGCCACTGGCGGAGCTGTACCCAGCAGCTTGGGGGTCTGACCCAAGAGCCTAAATCAATACAATCATACAGCTGGATCCGTATCTAAGCTCATCTGAAATATTTCAGATTTCAAGGTCAAGGGTTTGAGTCTGCTGACAGGCTCTCCAGAGGCAGAGCAGCCTCCTGCAACACCAGGCTGCAGGGTCAGACTGCAACGCCTTCATTCAAAGCTGCTGCTTTCCAACACACTGACGTTGAGAAACCTCAGAGTCAGAGTACTCCAGGGAAAAGGTTCTCACTGTGGCCTGGCTGTTGGAAAGCTCCTCCTCTGGAAAGTTCTCTGTAAAGAATATCTATAGTCTCATCAAGGGCAGGAATGTTCTTCATGACAAGTGGTCTCTCATCACCTTACCCATGTCCGCAGTGCCACTCGGTGAAGGAGCTGTGCTTTGACGCTGCAGTTGCTATAGTGACCATGTCAGTCAAGAGCAGACAGCTTAGGCCATGCAACATCCGGCCACAGCAGCAATTCCTGCACAAGTCCATTACAGGATGCCGGGAGTATGAACTACACCTTCCCCTTACTCTTCAAAAGCCACTTGTTTCTCTGTGGTGCTATAACTTTACCCCTTTAGTAACTTACTAATCTGTGTGGTCAGTCCGTTTCAGTAATTTAATATTTGCGCAGGCTGCTCAAGTTTCTTGCTAAAATTAACAACCATTTCTGTTCCTGCTCACAAGTCCATTACAGGATGCCGGGAGTATGAACTACACCTTCCCCTTACTCTTCAAAAGCCACTTGTTTCTCTGTGGTGCTATAACTTTACCCCTTTAGTAACTTACTAATCTGTGTGGTCAGTCCGTTTCAGTAATTTAATATTTGCGCAGGCTGCTCAAGTTTCTTGCTAAAATTAACAACCATTTCTGTTCCTGCTCTGCTGATTCAAAGAGCCAGAAGCATAGAGTCTGGCTTACAGTTTTTAAGGTCCATGAAAAAAATAAAGCAAAAAACCCCAAACCAGGCATCCACAAACCGTAACATGAAGGGAACTGTGTGGTTACACCAAACCCTTAGTACCTACCATGTAAGCCTCTTTCTGCATCTATGATTTCTATACTCCTGACTTGAAAACCTTTGGTTGCAAGCCAACCTCGTTGGTAATCCAAACTTCTCCCCTTCCTCCATCAACCCATGGTCACTCAGCAGTGCATCATGAACATACCTGTATTCTTCCTCCTCTTTGGAGTTCTTCTTAGGTTGGTACTTCTTCGACAGATTCCTAAAATTAAAACCACACACATGTAAGATTGTGAATTTAAAACACCTTTAAATGAACTGGATAATCTTTGCATGCACTCACATTCTGTGGGGCTTCAGTTTCTATCTGCAGTAACCAGACAACTTTTCAGAAGTCTGATTGCAATTAGGCTATGATTACATTGTAATAACACTCAAATTATGACGCATAGTGCTTCAGTCTCTGTAACCCCAATAAAGCAGCAGATTCTGAACCCGAGAAGTTAATAAATTAAGGCCGTGAAGTCAATACACCAGCGTTCTGGTTCTGCTGATGCACAGGACTACTTTGCCTGATGGAGAGGCCCTTTTACAGTGAAAATACTGGTCCTCAGAGACAGATGTGCTTTACAAACTGCACCCAGCAGAAGGTGCTACTCCATACCCAGAAGTCAGCCAGCACATTAAAGTGTGATTTGCTGCAGGTGACACTCATGACCAGGCAAATTTGCCTGCCTTTAGCAGGATGCTTCCAAGGAAGAGAAAAATATTTCTAAAGCTGCACCAAGATGACAAAAGGAGGATGATTTTATGATTATCAACAGATGCTGGGGAAATGTGAAATTTGATTATCCAAATTAGCTCAGATGCTTGCCTCTCTTATTAACCCATATCCAACTAATGATTTAATTGTAAAATACGGTATGCTCTTCAAGCAATCGTATCTTGAAGAAGAACATTAACAGTTAGTATATAGCTTTCCTTGTCCTGAAGGCAGTGACTGCAAGCCCCCAGCCAGCAGCACACCAGGGCTTAACGCACGTGGTCCTGCCCACCCCTCGCTCACACAGCTCAGTGTCGCGCCCACGGCGCTGCAGCGCAATACACCACCACCCATCTTTCAAACAACACAACCAGAGACCCAACAGTTCTTACTTAGCGATTTTAAGACCGGGATCTCCTCTGCTCTAAACTCAGACCTAGGACACTCTGTACCTCCTGCAGCCTCTGTGAAACGGAAGCCATTTGTTTCAGCTCTACAAATTGTTTATTGTCTATTGTTTTTTCAGTAATTAAGAATAGCATGCAAGTGGTATTGATGGGATTGTTGTCCAAAGGAGTACAGGTTTCACTGACTTATCTTTAAGTCAGAGGACTACCAGAACACATCCAGTTGAAAAGAAAGTGCTTTTTCAGAGGTGTAAACCCTTCCCGCCCCAGCTCGCTGCATGCTGGTTTTACTGCTAACGGGGAGACAGCGATCCTTTTGTCTCACATTTCTTATTCCTTTTGTTCTCCTTAAGGAATTAAGCAGCATCTGCTCAGAGCAGTAGCCAGAACGCTGGCGGATTTGCACAGACAAACATGTGTTTCTCAAACTTTCAGTATCCCTACGGGAAGGGATCCAAATGAGCATCTCCTTTCCAGTCTCTGCCTCCTCTGAAAAGGAGATGCTCTGAAACAATGAGCTTCTCTCTAGTTTCACATACAGCAGCTTCAACCAGAGAATACCAGCATGGCAAGAATTCTGCATGGTTACAGTAGCTCCTAAAGCACCCTTTGGATGCCATGGGGATGCCTCCCTCTGCACAGAGAAGGAAAAACACACACAGAATATACACTAATAAGGCATTTTTGCACACACGCAAATGCACTTGTCCCTGCACAGTCATGCTGCTGCTCAATTAATTGAGACATACAGAGCTACTGTCTTCTTGGGAACCTTTAAAGGTTTACAAATGCTACAGTGCTATGGCAAAAATATCCAGACAGTATGCTTTCACAGACTAAAAAAAGAGTCTAAAAGCATGTTAAAAATGTATTATTTTCTATGTACTTTATAACGCACATAAAATATAGGAGTCTACATATTTTAGTTTTTCAAATGTCTTCCCCTATTTTCTTAATAAAACACAAACACAGGGTTTTAAACCAGGATACACACAAAACCCCAGAGTGATGCTGAACCCAGAAGTGATACTGAACTCAGAAGTGATACTGAGTCCAGTACGCGCCACTACGACCCTCACACGTTGAGTTCAGCGTGCAACCGTGCAGCGCCACGACCAGAACACCAGCGCTTCTCAGGTTCAAGCTCCCGAAGCGGCGAGACCCTCAGAGCTAACGGTGATTAAACAGGGAACTAACACACAAGAACAAAGCCCAGCAGTAGAAGAGCAGTTCTGGGAAGACCCTGTGCTGGCCTGTGCGCCTGTCTCCAACTCCTGTTTCCATTTGCCTTTCAGACTGCGTCATTTTTCTGCCCTTCCAGCTTTTTTCTCTGCTCACTTGCTTCCACTTCTTCGACATCTTTCTCTCTCGCGTTTATCATCCATCACAGCTTCCTGATTCTCAGATTATCCTGACGTCTTAGGCATTATTTTTCCCAATACATCTTCCTGAAGGCTATCTATCCATCATCACATAAGGAAAGGCTTTTGACACACTTGTTGCTGCTCAAAGCCTGTGTGCTGTAAGGTAAGCAGTGACTGGAGATGGATAACGAAACCCTTCAGCACTCGGAGCAGCGAGTACCATCTCGCATCCAACAGATGTTCAAAGAAAACGCAGGAACAAGGGAACACACTACCAGAGTTTCCACACCCTCCTTCCCAGCCTAGTTTAACGACTCAACAATTACAAAGAAAATCACGTCAAATCCGAGCTGCAGCCTCCAGCCAGGACTGACTGTCAATGGTACAGGCAGGACTTGAGCAGTCCAGGGGTGACGTAGGTGGTGTGTGACACAGGGGAGTTTCTTCCACTGGGGTAGCCAGGTAATGCGAGGCATCCTGCAAGTATGTAGATCTAACTTAACACTTCTAAAACCAACTATTACAGCTATAGCTACATAATTACAAAGAGGAAGGAAAGTAACAGTTTTAAATAGAAGACAATTAAACTTCTGTACATAGGTAGTCAGACAGGAAGAAAAGCTAGCTAGGGAGCCAGAGACCAAGCAGAAAACACAAGTTGCACAAAAGAAAGTAAAGCCCAGCAGCTTTATTTACACTGCAAATAAAAAACTTTTGAGTTAAATCCACAGGAGTATCTTGTGTTAACTCGTCCCTTTTTAACAGTATGTCTGCATGTTACAACAGGCAGTGATGTGCTGCAGTCCTAACCCAATGGACATGACACCACAAAAGGTTTGCACCAGCCTTGAGGAGACTAAAAAAAAGTGCATCAGCTTTCAATAAATGTCCAGCCCTGTTCTATCTCAACATTTGACAAGTCTACATTTCTGGTTTTCTTTTATACCTCCAACTTGCTAGCAGACTCCAAACAGTTTTGTGTTTAAGAGCTCCTAGGGGATTAATGTATTTGTCCTCAAATCATACCCGTGGATGGGGGAGACTAACGCAGCTATGCATGGGGAATTAAAGTGCAGAGAACAAACGAACAAACCAACTTTGATTTGGAAGTCTAGGGCAGAATAAGAAATAAAACTCATGAGGTCAGGCTTTCTAGACAGCCATAGGTACAACTACCTCCCAGTTTCCTTAAGTATTTCGTTGGTGTGTTTATTTTCATACTTTCATACTCTTTACACCTGAAATTTGTCATCCTAAGAAATTTACTGAGTCTAGTGTGTGATTCTTCATAGGACAGGCTTGCTCACACAGATACTCTGCTGGGGCTTCCCAGCCCAGTCATACTCTCCTTCTTCCAGCTCATTTTGCCTCTGTAATTCAATCTCTTCTCATCTCCATAGGATGTGAGCAATTTGTTCCTGCACAAGTCATTCTCTACTTCCTGCTTGTCTGTAGCAGAAACCCTGAGGAATCCTTGTGGCATTCCCCTGAGAAAGCACATCACCATGAAGGCAGGGTTTTACCAGCTATCAGCTCCTCGTAAATAACAGCCCATTGTGCATCTCGGAGCCATTCTAAAATAACCATCAAGACTATGTGATTTTTTCTTTTACTAGACTTTGTGTTTTAAATATAATCAGATCGGGAGCCACAGATCTCGAAGATGGAAAGAGTTCTAATATGTTTTAATAGTCATTAAAAAAAAAAAAAAAAGGTGTGGATTTACTGGAAGGGTTAAGCAGGATTAGCCCCTCCTCAGCTCCACCACCTCCAGTTTATCACCCTGGACACCAGTGGCTGCCAACAACATTGCACCATAGCCTCTCCACAGCAGGACTGTCAGTGTGTTGTACTCCCTCCTAACCCCTGTTCACCTCTCTTTACATACTATTGGGAACAGCAGGGTAAGAGCTACTCCATGTGGGAGGGTTCTTTAGTACCCCTTCCCCACTCCCATAGGATCTGACCTCAAGAAACATGTTTTCTGGGTCTGGTTCACTTATAATTCTCTCTCAACCTATAACTTGATGGTCAGACTAGACACGTAGTATGTACATAGCAGGAATTTCCAGTAATTTAGCTACATGAGATAAAGTCACAGGATCTCTGCTCTGTTCAGGAGACACATCCCAAGAACAGTGGCAAGATTATAAAGCTTGTCAAAATTCAAATCTCAAGCTGCAACCTCTCTGACTACATAGATGAAATTCCCAAGGGCTGAGATGGACTGTCTGACCTGCAGTTTCTCCAACACAGATGCATAAAGGGCTTGTCTTAGGAAAAGAAACCCTAAACTTCCCCTTAAAACAAATGATCATTATTCTGCTGAATTCTTAAACCCTTCAGCATTTACACGCAGCAGTCCTAATTTCATGGAAAACATTACAATTCCATCCTCCAAGCCTGAGCATAAATTATGCATAAATCATGAGTAAGCCCTAATATGCTACTCAGTCACCTAAGTAACCTTTCTTTTTGCAAAGCATGTGATTTTTAGCAGAGATGATAAAACAGTATCTTAAATTAACTTCAGCTTTCCATTCTCTAAATTAAAGCTATTCTCTAAAGGTCATTATTATAAACCAAGCAAATTACCACCACTCAAACAGTAAACGTAAATGATTACAGGCTCTGAAGAGATGCAACTCAAAGGCCAGAACTTCACAAATCAACTTACCTAAGCTGCTTTGCATAGCTGAGTTCAATCTCTGTTCGTTCTTTGACAAACTTGATGTATTTTTCCAGAACATCAATACCCCACTGTGTGTGTTTTTCTAAGTTGTCAAACTGGTCCTGCAATAAATTAAAAAAAAAAAAAGTTTTGTCTCATTGAACATAGAGATAACTGAAAATACTTTCCAAAGTGCATATCACCATAAAAAAAAGGATTAGTATTTTCCATTACTACAGACAGAATTTTGTAGTGACCCAGGTTTTTCATTGACGGAAATATGTCTTTTCACATGAGACCAATTCAGTAACATCCTTCATTCCTCATTTCTGAATCAGTAGCATTTCATAAATCCTGGCAATTCTACTCAATACTGAATAATATAAAGACATACTTAGGCAGAGGGTAAGGAAATAGATGTTTTTGCCAGTATTTTACTGTACCCTGAAGAGTTAATATAAGTTCCATGAATTTGAGGTCTACTCCTAATTAATAATTTTGATTTTTGTCTGAAACACAGATTTGCCAGTATTATGAATTCAAAATATCATTCAGAACAGCTAACAATCTTTTTACAGAATAGGATGCCCCTACAGCCTGTTTTGTTCTAAAAACAGCAGACATGCTAACAACTGATGTCACCAAAAAATTACACTCACTATGTTTACAGTAAGTTTCCGTGCCCCCCTCTATTTACATACAAATGCTACTTTGTTCTTCAAGCATTGTTGCCTCAAAGAGTCACACATGTTTTCAATAAAACCTTTTTCAATCAAGAACATTCCACAAGTCAGTTTGGGATTTGCAAATGCCAAGAGAAATTAAGCAACTCTAAATCCAAATTAATTATCCCAGCCAGCTTATTACTATCTGCAGATTTAACCTAAAATTACCTTATTTTTTTAAAATTTGGTCACTTCAACAACACCCAAACTCCGTAATCATCCGTTCCATGCAGCATTTCACAAGTTAGTGTTTCTACAGGACTTTAAAAATATTTTTAAGCTGGCATACACTGAATACTTATCCTGACAGAAACACGGCGTAAACAAGGTCTTTAGCATCCGCCTGACATATCTGGCATCAGGTTCCATTGTGGTTCACGTGGAAAACCGAGAATAAGTTTGTACATCTGCAGTACAAAGGTCAGATTTACAGCGTTTTCAAAAGCATCGCACACAGGGATGGATTTGGGTCAGACACCAAGTGAGGTTCTGACAGAGGCGATGCTGCTTTCTCACCGCCACAGCCTTGTGACTGTCAGGTCGCAGAGCTACCATGGGATGTCACCAGCGTAAGGCAAGCCCACTTCCTTCGACGCCAAGCAGAAAAACGGCAGAAAACTACCACAAAGCCTCGTTTATGAATATGCTGCTTTTAAATAAATACCCCTTTCTGCTTTGTAGCATCTCTGCCTCTGACAGTAAATTCAGTGGGTATCAGGAGAGACAACCCCAGCACTGACCATGACAGCTGTGTGCACAGAAGCTGTTACATCCTGACAAAACCATCTTCACTTGATTCTGAAGGGAAGAACTAGGGACCATGTCCAAGATGGACAATCTGCAAAACTCCAGCAAGACGGTAGTTGAGACAGCGGGTAGCGTGCATGGAATTATGGCAGAGAGTTGGTGTAGCTGTATATTTGCTCTGGTTTAGCATAAAGTACTATTTTAAATCAGTTCAGCCAAACCAGACTAGGCTTCAGTTGGAATTATATCACTATCAGTCAATTAAAGAGGCACTGGGGGGAGAACAGCAAAGGGGCAACAGTGTAAAGCTATAAAAATAGTGAAGAATTTCTAAGCCTTGTGCTCCAGGAACTAGGAAAAAGTGGTCAAGGTCAACTGAAAAGAAAAATATTTTTAATATATTCAAACTACAAGGAAGAAAAGCCTGACTTCCAGCAACATAAATCACCCTTAAACCAATGTAACATCTTCGCTCAAAAAGAGGATGTACGCGTCCTGCAGAAGGGGAAGACACAGACTAAGCCAGTACATCTTTGCATATAGACAAATCCTTGTTTCAGACGATTTCAGAGCTGGGAGTATGCAAACACGACGTGGGTAACATCAGAGACCTCACCTCCTCCCAGAGGGCTCAGATCAGGGAGGAACATGGTGTGATGTCTGGGGTACGTGTCAGCCCAACCAGGCACCTTCTGCCCTGCCTCCAGCACACAGACTCCGCATCCCTCTGATTATGCCGGCGTCAAGAAATCAGTGCCAGCACGGCCTTTGTAAGGCTCCTGATAAAGAGGCCTATCAGCTATCCCACACACTCCTCTTCCACAATTTACATTATTTTATGTGAAATACATGCATATAAAATAAACACCCCCGAGGCAGCCCATTACGCACGGGTTCACATCCATTCACACACACTCCCAATGCTGAGGAGGGGAATCCACTCCCTACTCCCTGTAAGCAAATTAAACCACCTTTATCAGATCTACTGTACTAGTAGCAAGAAACTAACTATGCATCCTACTGTAACCCCATCCAAGAGGGAAAGTCACAGTTTCTCACAGGAAAGAACGCTTTTCAGGGAGATCCTGCCCTTCAAGATAATTCGGGCTGCTGACTGCAGAGAGAGGGAGCAGGTTCACCCTGGGAAGGCAGTCTTGGTGGTGGCTTGTCCACACCTCTTGGTCACCCTCACCACCCCCCTAACTCAACTCTCAGAGCATCATTTAGACCAGAGTAGGAATAAAAACCTGAACAAGGCTCCAGGGAGCTGCCTCAGTTAGCTCTGTTATCCCACAGATGGATCTGCTGGACCGTTTCGGCGGCCTCGCTGCCAGGGGTGGCGAAAGGAAAACCCCATGATGTGCAGTGCAAAGGCACCACCATCGCCTCCCGAGCATGAGGAAAAGCAGTGCAGCCAGAGGGACCCACCACAGCGAGTCGACCTGCTCAGCAAGCTGAAGGTAGGCAAAGGCTCTGTGCAAAGGCTAACGGGTCGTAGGGATGACAGTACACAGGAAGCCATGATCGTAAAGCATCACCTTTAATTCAGGGAATCCCAAAGTCCAAGGATACATGCAATCAGTGCAAGAACAGAACTTCTAAAGAGGAGGTTTTTGAGAGTAGTCGACAACCATCATCGTGCCTTCAAACAATAATGAAAAATTTAAAAAATTGATTTAGTATTTCTAACATTCATCACAAAAACTCATTATCACATGGGATCTGAAGAGGTAAGAGCACTCAACTATTCTGTAGGAGATTTGGGTTTAACAATGAGATTTCACCCTTTTCCATAACAGACTGCCTCCCACAAAAGGTATCCCAGAAGCAGACTGCTAGAAAAGTTCATGACAACATTCCCAAAACTCCAGTACTGTTTCATTTTGGTTTTCACTGGACCTCAGATGATTTTATAGCTTTAAAAAAAGCTCTTCACAGTAATTCATCCCAGCAAAATAAAAGATCTCATGATCTTTGGTTCACCCCGTCCCTGCCAGTGGACACAGGATCAGCAGGTAACGTGTGCCACTACAGCCGTGCAGGTCGGCCTCAGCTGGAGGATGGTCCAGGCACCCCCAGGACCTGCTCTTGCAGTTTTCTGTTTCAATATACAGATCCCCCTCTGTTGGTTTCTGCAGCCTCCTCACCCTTCCAGTCAGGGGTAACAGTAGAAAACAAGAAATTCCACAAGGCTTTGGCATTCCTCAAGAAAAGCAAGAAAACAAGACAAGCAGCATGACGCAGTATGCTCCCATGAGACCAGTGAGGGGGGAAACAAGGTCACTTTGCACCTGTTTTCTCCGAAAAAAAGCCACCAAGCCATTTTCTAGAAGCATTCGCTCCTGACTCAGAGCAGTGTACATCTAAGAGCCCTCTTGAGGAAAACCCTGCACTGGCGAGGAGTCGTGAATCCCAGCAGGCTCCCACCACAGCCTGCACATTCCTATGCCCTTCGGCCTTCCAAACTGCACATTCCTCCATTTTCAAGCCCCAATATTTATTGTGAGATCAAAAGCTTATTAAAAAGAACAGACTTTTGATTGGCAAGTGAGATGTGCCTGTAATTAAACCACACGCACAGCCGTAACAATCCTCTTCACCAGATTCTACCTGCTCCTCCACGCCACGTGCCAGCACAGACGCTTCACACCTTCCCCACGCGATGGAGGAGCTTGACTGTACCGACTCCGCGCGGGTGGGAAAGCGGAGCCTCTGCTGCAAGCTGAGCATCTTCGTCTCTCTTCAGAGCTTAGCACATTCTTAAGCGAGCACAAAAAATTAAAGCTCAACAGAGGAAAGAACAACTTCGGTCATTAACTTGACTGGGAGTTGGACATCCAAGAACCCAGAACACATGGATAATTTTATCCCTCAGGCAAAGCGTGTTTCTAACTTCATTTCTTTTTCCATTAGTTCTCTCCCGGTATTTTTACCGCTGCCCAAATAACTTGACGTTCATGCATTCTTTCTGAAACTCGGCTGCGTGCTCGTTACACTGACAATGCTTAAAATGGAAATAGGGCTGCCTATTTGCTTTTCCTCATTTGAACGGCTACTTTAAGCTGTCAGATCCACTCACTTCTCAACTGTCCTGAAGTCACATTCCCCAGCTATGCTAAGAATTTGGGGAAGAAGAAAGTTAGCCATTAAAAAAAAAGAAAAGCTTTCTTCCCATTTCTAAGCCACATAACATGGAGTGCCACCAATTATTGAGCAATCAAGAAAGTGTTATTCATGTGGTTTTTGAAGATCAGCTCAGTAACATGCTCCTTCCTCTTTCAAGGGCGCTGCCATCTATTGCGAAACAGGTCAACACAAAGCTCGTCCAGATCCAACGATGGATGGGACCTTAATTTGCGACAGAGGGGCTTCAGCATCAACATCTGCTGAAGTAAACAGGGTGTCCTCACCCTGCTCTTGCGTCGGTCGCAGTCTCCCCGCAGCCAGACGCCCCCCACTCAGGTCATTGTACGCCCCGTGCCCCACTAGTGCCTTTCACCAGACAGGAAGGATGATGATGGGGAGTCCAACTCCACCACACAGCCAGGCCAGAAGTCCTGGGATTTCTGTTTGGTTTCAAATGAACAAACATTAGATTCTGGGAGACTTTACCATTTAAGGGACACCTTCCACTAAACCAGGTTGCTCCA